TTGCTTCCAAAAGTTTGAGTCCACTTACTATGTTTTTATTATAAATTTTAATTTTGACAATTTTTAAATCCTTAATTTTTTTTTTTTTTAACCCACAATCATGCCACAATGGCGTGTCTTTATTGAAAAATGAAAAATGAATTTATAATATTTTACAGACTTTCACAAAATAACTAACTCGTCTTCATACAAAAGTACTCTAAATCAGATTTTGGGGACAATATTTCACTCCTCTAATAGATTGGTAATAACCTTTATCTACCAGAATCATTTCCAATAGTTTGTCACGGTTGATTGCCCGAAAACCAATGAATTGCTAAGTTAAAAGGTGAAAGGGGAAGAACAATTTGGAAAAGGGAACAATTCAAGACCTATCAAAAAAATCCAAAAATAAAAACAACCTCTTTTCAAAAGGGATCTGCCTGATTGGAATAGTCTTCTTGCTTTACTTGAATCTCGGAAAAAATCTTCTTTTTCACCACCTGTGGCATCGAACGAGTCAATCCAACTGGTCTTTCATTTAAGTGAGCACCGGATTGGGATATCTCAAGGAAAGTATTTAAACCTCAGCTTTTTTCCATTAAAGCTTTATCACCACTTAAGGAACTTAGGTAAGAGACAGGAGTTTGTAATCCATATTATCCATCACTTGATTTTTTGGTGTCATGGAAGTTTTCATTGAGGGATTTGAGCTTTTTGGAAGCAGTCGTTTTCAAAACCTTCTTTCTGATCACCAATGACATTATCAGAACACATGATTATGATCAATAGGAGCTTGTTTACATTTCAAAAACTAACATGTTTCATGTCAGCCAATCACCTTTGGTGAGGATTTGTGTTACCAAAAATTCAGGGTCAAACTGAGGTAAGTAAAATTCTCCAGAAAACCATGAAAGCAATAGCTCTAAGAAACCCAACAGTAACTGGAAGGGGAAAAATAAGTCCTTCTATCATCAAAAACCTCTATATACCTCTCGCTTCAAAGGTTAAAAAGGCCTTCAGATACTTCACAGTCAGTTTTTCTTCCTTTGCAAACTTTCTTGCCGTTGGTATCAAAGGTGTTACTTGACTTTTCTTGATTACTAGAAGTCAAGTTTTTGAGTGAAGAGGTTTGTAAATAAAAGAAAAAGGATAGAGGTGACTCTTGAAGTCATACTTCAAGTTTTTTTAATGAAAGTATTAAGACTTTATTAGCAAAGAAATATAAAAACTTCTTGCGAACATCTTTTTTGTGTGTGGTCAGAGGATCAGTAGAAAGAGTTTGAACTTCAAGACTAGTATCAATAATCAATTGATATAAAAAAACATATATTTATTATTGTATTATGGACAAGTAATCACTTGTGTCATTTTATAACTGCAAAAGAATAATTAGAACATAATAGATTTTCTATAGTGCCTATTTCTTTCTTTTGATAAACAATTGAACAGTACTATCTGAAATTTCCATTTTTCTTGTGATTTCTGCAATTTCCATATTATTTTCCATAAAGCGGTAATTCTACCTTTTTCGTCAGATCTTAATTCTTTAGTTTTAACTATATTTTATTTTTGAATTACTAATAAAACAGCATTTTTAATAAATTAAATTTTAATATGACATCAGAAAATCACGAATACTTTTTTGTCTTACTGTACGTAAAAGTAAATTGATTTTATTGAAAAAATCAAATTAACAAATTTTTAGTCTTGTCTAAACTACTTTTTTTTAATGAAAATAAGTGCCCGTTGTGTCATATCTTGTGAACATTGGTCATTAGAAATGCAGGATAATAAAATATTATGTGAATTAGTTTAATTCTCTACAGTTCTCATTTGACCATGATAATAAGCACGCAAGCAGTATAGCAATCGCTGCTAAAACTTCCCTTTACAAAATAACATACCCTAAAAGTGCAGTTGATTTAACTAAAAATAAAGAATCATAGCCTCTGAAAAAAAACCTCAGATTAAGGTATGTTTGGAGAATTGAGCTTACAATGCAATAGGTGTCATTCTCCCGGATAACATCTTACTGAGCATAAATTCCCCTCCACCCTTCCATTCTTTCGAGCAATGCCTCCTTGTTCGAGATATAAAGCTCATTCATGCGTTGTATAGGAACTGGCTCTAGCGGGTCAGGTATGGATTGTAAAATTGGAGGTTGGGTCGGAGTTACAGCAGCACTAACTACCGGAGTAGCTTGTACATAAGCACCGTAAGTAGCGGTTGGTGTCATCCCACCTAATTGGTTATAAGGGCTCGGTGGCTGCGGGCTGAATGTAAATAAATTAAATTAAGTTATTTAAACATAGTTCCGGAAAAACAATTACTTAATTACCGGTAAGATCCAATGACAGTTTTGTCATTTTGTGATCTACCCCAAGACAATCGAACTCGAGAATTACCTTATATTTCAAGAATTAAGTGATATTAGATTACATAAAGGGGATGGTAAATTTTAATTAATATACAAACCAATGGGATAATGTTGCATTTGATTGATTGCCATTTCGGCACTTTGTCGATGAACAAATTGAACAAAGCCACAACCCTTTCCGGGTGGTATTTTAACATACGTGATTTCGCCAAATCCTTGAAAATAACTATATATATTATAAATAAGAATATTACTGTGTGCAAAAAACGAGTTTACTATAAGTGTCGAAAAAAAAAAAAAACCTTCGGAGCTCTTCTTCACTATTGACACCCGACAATCCCCCAACGAATACCGTGGTATTATTAGGATCATTATATTGATTTAAGACAGGATTTTGCTGAGACGGCTGTTGGTAAAAGTTACCCTGCAAGCCACTCTTGTTCTTTGGTGTGGCGGTAGAAATTCGCATTGGCCGATTTCCACAAAAGGAACCCTGCATTTCCATGAGTGCACGTTGTTGTTCAGCTTCATCGCCAAAACGAACAAAGCCGTATCCTAAATAATAATAATAATAATGAATCAAAAATAATTAAATAATATATTTCAAGATTTTATCTTTTATTGCCAAAGCTACTTTACCACGGGACATTCCAGTCATTGGATCAGTCATAATTTTTGCGGATTTACAAGAGGGATATCTTTGCTGGAAAACTGACTGCGTGCAGTAAATCATGGTAAGAACTAAATGAATCAATAATCAACAAACCTATCAATTCAACTTACCACCAACATCCATTCGGTCACTTCGGGCCCTAAATCTCCAACAAAAATAGAAAATTCTGGACCACGGTCATCTCTGCTCCAGGTTTGAATACGAATAAGTATAACCCAAATGTTAGACGATAAATAAATTGCGAAGAAAATTGAATTAAAAAACTTCAGATGCTTACTTCCTATCTGTCAACCCACCTCCCGAAGCCCAATTGAGTTTAAATACACGATTGGTGCCGTGAATTGGGGTACCATTCACTGTGCTCAAAGCCTTAACCGCTGCCGCGTTACTCACGAAATCCACAAAGCAGTAACCCGCGTTTGCACTATTTAATTCATAAAAAATTATAGCGCGAATAGTAAGAATTTTATTTGAGATATCTTGATTACTGATCGTTAATTATTTACCCAGTGAATTTATCCCTAATGAATTTAACGTTGACATTTTCACCCAACTGATACCAAACAGTCCTTATGTAGTTCTCATCCATCCAAGGTTCAAGCTCACCCATCCTATAAAAAGATATTGTTACAGTTGATCTTTGTTTTAAAACTTGCAAAACGGATACTTACCATAAAGTCGTTTTGCTTTCTGTTCCACTACCATATGGAGATTGTTGCTGGAACTGATCAAATTGAAAGGCCATTTTTCATGTGTTTCGTAGTAACAAAAAATATACTTCTCAATTTAGCACGAAAAATTCTTAAGAACACCAGTGAGATCGCGACTTTTAGAAAATGAATCAATTTCCAACAAAAAAAAAAAAAAAAAAGCACGCACGCAAAAAATATAATGTACTACATATGTGTATATCACCAATACTCTGTCAACACGATCTCGTGATAAAAAATCGAATTTTTTTGTCGGAGTCGCGATCAAAAATAACCAGCCCCTCGGCTTATTTAAAAAAATTTTGTCATAGAATTACGTATTGCGCCTCACGTCTAACTTGAATGTCTGGTATGAAAGTAATAATGTCGTAAACAACAAGTCTATTATATAACAAGTTTTTGAGAACAATTTATTGTTTCTTTGAATAAATATTCTTCTAGATTATACTGTATATATAGTTATTATTGTTAATTTTCTTATTAAATTATTGGAATATAAGAATTATACAAGAAGTGAATTGAAAGAAAGAGAAAAAAATATTTAAAAAAATATGCAAGGAAAATAAAGAAATTTTTATCTATAGGAATTTTTATAATACAGTATATTGATTTATAAATCTTATTATTTTAGCTTAATTAAAATAAAATAATAATCTTTGTTTAAATTTTATTTAATCAAAATAATAGAAATAGAAAGATTTCAATTTTTTTTTTTTTAATAGGTTTATGCCTAACTTTATTGATTTTCAAATTTCATATATATATTATGCAGAACACAGATATATGTGTATATATTTAAGAATGATAAAGATAATGATAAGTTAAAGCTATTCCTAAAGCTATTTTGAGATTTATTATCCTTTCTTTTATTAAAGAAAAATCAACATCTTTAGATTATGTTGATGTTATGAAAATAAAAATAGAGAAAATAAAAAAGAAAATAAAGCAGTCTTATATATTTCTGAGAAAGTATCAGTTTTATTTCTTAGTACATGTCTATTTTATTCAGGTTTTTTTTGTGAAAAGGTCTAAGGAAGGAAACTTCTATTAAGTTTTTATAGAGATAAGTTGAAGACCAAAAGGGAAACTTTATAGTTTTATGGTTTGTGGAAAGAAAGTAATCAGAAAAATTCAGGTAATATATTGGTATTTACATAATTGACTTGAAAGTCTTTCAATATATTATCAATTAAATCCATTACTATTTAAATATAGATATACTTACCCTTCTGTACATCTTATTTCAAATTTAGTTTCTTATAAGAAGGATAGTATCTAACTTTACAGTTGATATATCCTGCTAGTGACCATTGGTACTAACAATTAACAAGGATCTTTTAGACATTACAGCTGACTTATATATTATTGTTAATATTTTTGAACTCAAGTTTTGATTGGTATAGTAACATTAACCTTTCAGTCTTTTAACTTAAGATTTTTTAAAAATAGAATAAAAACTTCCTAGGTTGTTTTGCACATAAACTTTATTACTAAGTATTTCTAATAGTTTCATATTTTTTTTTGGTTTAGACTTTTTTAAGCAGTAGAGGTTGAAACCTACCTGACATACAATTAGAATATAGATAGTTCTAACTTGAAAAAAAAAAAGATCAATCAAGTATCTTATGATCTTTACTATGGTCAGATGGACTCTTTCTTATATTCAATAATATATTAGTAACATTTCCTATATCTATTGCATCAACACATATGACTTATGGGGAATTCTAGGTTTTTATAGAGCTAAGAAAATATATTTAGACATATGAGGTGAACAATAGGAACTTGTTTATTAACCTTGTTCAATAAATTTCATGTCAGTTAATCAGAATCAGTAAGATTTGTATTACCTGAAATTTCAGGATCAAGCTGAAGTATAAGTAGACAAAATTTCTCAAAAAATCATGAAAAAAGTAGCTCTTAGAGACCACAATATCAGTTAAAAGATAGAAGAATAAGTCCTTTGATTGAAACAAAACCTCTATTGTTTCTTTATTATGGCTGAGAGGTAATATGTACTTCACTATTAATCATTTTCCCTTTGAAAATTTTCTTGTCATTGATAGTAAAGGTAGAAACTAAACTTTTCAGGTCATAAGAATCCAGTTTGTTTAAAGGAGATTGTAAATAAGATATAAGAAAGGTAAGGAAGTTTTAAAGGAACTCTTTAAGTTAGTTTAAGAAAAATAATAAGATTCTTTTAATAAAGAAGTATTAAAACTTCTTGTGAATATTTTTTTTATATGTGATCAGAGGATCAGCAGAAAGGGTAATGTCAAACATATTACTAAAAAAAAATAAAAATATCAAGAAAATAAAAAGATATATAAACTTTTAGTATAGTTATATAAAAATTTAACAAGAAATATTATTTAAGGTTTTAAATTCAAAATTTATACTTATAATATAATATAAAAACTATGTTTTATCAAAAATTCAAAAAGAAATTTAAGGTGCAATTGAAATATTTAAAATAATATGTCAAAATAAAAAAAATTAAGAAGATCAAAAAAAGATATTAAAATAGTATTAAAATAGAGATGTGAAGTTCTAAAAAACAATAAATGAAGAATAATAAATTTGATTTTAAATAGAAAAAAAAGTTAAAATAGTTTTTGATAGAATCAAACTTATATACAAAAATTAAAAGTACATTACAAAAAAAAAGAAAATATTAAAAAAAAACCATATAAATATTATTTAAATATTTTTTGAAAATAATATACAAACTTTAATCACTTATTTGATAATTGAAAAAGAAAATACAAATCAAAAATAAATATTTATAATAATTAAAATAAATGATTTTTATTATTGATATTTTAAGAAGAACTTTACCAAATTTTTTAATTATTCTTAAATAACAAAGTTCTTAAAAAATCAAAAAAATTTTTTTTTTTTAACCCGCAGTCAGGTTAGCATGGCATGTCTTTATTGTATATATACAAAGATATTTACAGGATAT